ACCAGGAGCTAGACCAGCTGGCCCTTGTGGCCCTTTGTAGATGTGATTCTCCGGCCCCCAATCTGAATGGCTGGGGTGGGCTCTGGCTGAATCGCACACACAAAGGGTTCTGCTGCCATCTCGGGAGGACACGGCGTCTGGCGTGGCAGGTCCCAGCTCTCGGCCCAGACTGTCGAGCTGCAGCCTGAGCTGGATTTGGGAGGAAAGAGACAGACGCAGCGAGACCCTCGGCCCCTCTGGCAGGAGCACAGAAATGGGGCCCTGGGCTGGGAGACGCTGGGAAACCCTCTCTCGCACACACAAAGGGTTCTGCTGCCATCTCGGGAGGACACGGCGTCTGGCGTGGCAGGTCCCAGCTCTCGGCCCAGACTGTCGAGCTGCAGCCTGAGCTGGATTTGGGAGGAAAGAGACAGACGCAGCGAGACCCTCGGCCCCTCTGGCAGGAGCACAGAAATGGGGCCCTGGGCTGGGAGACGCTGGGAAACCCTCTCTCCTAGCAGGGATCTTCCAGTTTCCTTCTCCTGCCACCCCTGGGGCCAATGGCAAAAGCCCAGTGGAATTAGCTCTGGGGGAGGCCAGAAGGGCCCGGAGCTGGATGACCGACAGGGCCTGCCTGCTGAAGAGCCCACCTTACGGCTAAGGAAAAGGACTGAGAGAATTTCTTGGCTCTGTTTCTTGACAACCTTGGGCAAGTCATAGTCCCTCTGCATGCCTCAGTTTCCCTAATCACCCTGGCCCACCTCACAGGCTGGAGTTGGGGGCTGAATTCATTCCTGTTTCCGAAGTGCTGTGACGTAGATCCTTGGGGAGCAGCGGCAAGTGCTGCTTTTGTAATTAAACAGGTGCCGCCAGATCCCCAGCTGGCACAAATCGGCAATGACAGGGGATTCCACGATCCCCAGCTGGTGTAAACAGGCAGAGCGACAGGGGAGTCAATGGGCCAGATCCCCCCTAGTGTAAATCAACACTGCTCTATTGGAGTCAGTGGGGCTACAGGCATTTCGATCTGCCCAGTGCAGTTGGGTAACCTCTGTGCCCTGGGAAACTGACAAATCAGTGTAAAAGCATCACACTGGGTGACACTGTAGCAGACGGGGAATCCCCAAAGCCTTTAGTGTCTCATGGCATGGAGAGGCCCAGTGCAGGCTACCGGGAATCAGGGAACCCAGCCAGACACGGAGCATGGCCCAGCAGGCTGGCCAGGCTCACACTAGGGACCAGGAGACATCAGGGCTGTTTGAAATATGGCAGCATGGAGAGGCCCCAACCAAAGTCAAGGCGGCTGCACAGACCTCAAGAAAGACTGAGGCACTGAACAGACCCTGCCTGAGATGGGGGACCTGTCACCGGGCACTGCACTGCCCGTGAGGGTAGGTGCCTGTCTGCCAGGTGCCGGCAGACCTCGATCTGTGCGTGACAGAGGGAGCTGTTAGCGTCTCTGCTGAGCCCGGCTTCCCATCTAGGCCTGTCCTGGGTGCTGGCTGGCTGACTCAGAAGCAAACCTCTGATCTCTATCAGCTCCCCTGAAAATCAGTGACTTGGAAGCCTCAGTCACAGGCTGTTTCTAATGAGACGTTACCATGCGTGGGAGGCTGTGGTCTGCCACCAAGACGCTAGGGCGAGAGTCTGTCGCAGCTGTGCACGGCCCAGCACCAAGGGCAGTTAAACCCCGCTGGGCACAGGGAAATGACAGTGGCAACATGCCCACCCCACCTCATCAGGGCATGGCAGTGACTGCTCTGTCCCATCCACTGTGGCAGTGCCAGCCTCCGGTTCTCATGCCCACGGCTTGCCATGGGGAGATGTGTCTAGCCACCCGTAGAGGCAAACAGCCGGGGATGTGGTAGGGTACGTGGCTTCTTCTGTGGCCCCTCATGCACTGACCCTAACAGCACCCCCGAGAAGCGGGGCAGGGCTCTCTTCCCCACTGGGCAACCAAGGAAACTGAGGCAGAGAGCGACTAGCCACTTACCCAAAGTCTCCCAGGGTGTCTGTGGCAGAGCAGGGAACTGACCCCCCAGTCCTGTGGTGCCATTGCAGGCCTAGCCCTTACAGGGAGGCGCTCGCAAGGACAGGTCTGGGCAGGAGGCCCTGCCTTTCCCAGCCCTGTGCTCCACGGTTCAAAGGGCCGAGTAGTCTGGGGGCTGCAGCCTCAGTACACATGCAATGAGGCAGACAGGAGGGTGGAGACAATACAGGCTGCAACCAGAGATGGGCTGCAGACAGGAGCCCAGGGCCCTATGCCCCCAAATCCAGAGCTGGATCCAGGTCAAAAATTTGCCAGCAGCCCAGACTTCCTGTGGGCCTGGCTCTGGATGTAGCCTCTGTGCTGAAGAGGGGTCAGCGGCAGGAGGCTGGGTCCGGCTCCCTCAGCTGCCCCTTTGGTTCGGAAAGCGGTTGCTGGGATCCCGCGAGGAGGGCGCTGCAATTCGCTCCTAGCTCCGGTCTCGTGGGACCCTGGCTCCAGGGGAACCCGCCCTGCCCCCACCATGCACAGCACTGGGGCTGGGAACTGCACTCACCTCAGCCTTGAGCTCGTCAATCTGGTCCTTGAGCTCCCGGATGTACTGGGAGGAGTCCGAGTTGTTCAGCTGCCCTTGGATCATCCCTTCTTCCCTCTGTGGGGAGCGGGCAGAGAATCAGGCTGGGGCCCAGGAGCCTGGGAACAGAGTTGGGGCAGGGATGCCAAGGCAGCAGCTGCTTAGACATCCTGCCCCCAGCGGGGATCGGGACAGGCCCTGGGCAGGCGGGTGGGGGTTGTGCTCACAGATCCACACGCCTGGGGGAGCTGATTATTTCCCCATACCTGGATCTCCAGCTCAGCGATCCGCTGCCGCATCTCGGCCACGGCTGCCATGCTGTCGGCCTCCCGCAGCCGCACCGCCATCACCTCCTCTTTGCTCTGGGGGCCAAACACACGGGATGAGGGCCAGTGCAGCAGCGGGGGAACTATGGGACTCAGCAAGGGAGGCTCACGTCTGCAGAGACCAAGCTCGGGGAGATGCCACGTCTCTGCAGAAGGCACCAGGACACTGACGTGTCACACAGCTGCAGTGACCACGCAGACTCTGCCGCGTTAGCTTGGGGGACAGAGAGGAGCCCTATAAACTCGCCCCGGGGTAGCCCCTTTCCCAGAATGTGGGCGGCCTCGCCAGCATGTCTGTCCAGCTGGGCCCAGGTCTACAGCGATGTCGTGTTCAAGGCAGATGGGGGAGCCCAGATATGGGATCCCCAGAGCAGGATGTGTCCGGGAGTCAGCACGTCGGGGGCTGCGGATCCTGGGTCTGGGAGAGGGTTTCTGCCCCCGCTGCTGTGCAGGGAGGGCTAGTTTTGCTGTCTGGGGGCTGCCTCTTGCTGCTGAGCCCCTAAAGAGCAGCCAGGTGGATTTCACCCAGTGCCAAGCAGAGCCGAGCGGGCTGGGGCAGGGCAGGGCAGGGCAGGGCCCCACAGGGCTCAGGTTCCTGGGCTGAGCAGGCTGCCCCCTCTGCCCTGCTGTGGCTGCCCCCAGCCTGGCACCTACCTTGCACTCGGACTCCGCATGCTTGCGCTTGGTCTCACTCAGCTGCGTCTGCAGCCCTTTGTTCTGGGCAGTGACGTACTGCAGCTTCTCCTGCAGCCCCAGGCACTCCTGCTCCGTCCGGCTCAGCAGATTACTGTGAATCTGGTCCTGGGACAAGGGCGAGACAGACGGAACCTGGCTCCAGGGACAGGCCATTCCCAGCCCTATTGCTTCCCCAGGGGGTGTGCAGGCGCCCGATACACCCCCTCCCACCTGGAAACACCCAGACTACACCCACACTCTGGAACTGCGCTACAGGCATGTGCAATGCACACCCCTGCCTCACAACTGCACCCCACTCTACAGCAGCACCCCCTTCAATGCACCCCCAAACTAGTGTAGTACATTCATGCCCTGGCCCCCAAATACCCACCGCGCTCCCAGGCTGCAAACACCCCCTAGCTGCACCCGCGCCAAGTGTACATGAAAGACTCGCCCACAGCCTTGCAGACACCCACTGCGCTGCCAACCCCTAAGAACGCCCGTCCTGCGGCCGCCCAGTGGCCCTTCCAGCCCACGTCCTGCCTGCCTTCCTGGGAAGGAACAGAACAGGGCCCCGCGCAACTCAGCCCGGCCCAGCCTGGGCTTCTGGCAGTCACCCAGGGCACCCTCTGCCACCAGCCATCCCCGGGCACCCAGCGTGGCCACACTGCGGGACGGCACTGCATGCACACGCAACCCGACACGCACTCCCACTCACCAGCACGCTGGGCACGCCCCCCTCTCACCAATGCACGATACACGCACTGCCCCCAACACTGCACATCCACCCCACTGTAATACCCCGCACACATGCACCCCCCCATTCACCCCCCTGCACTGTACACACCCTGCACACATGCACCCCCCCATCCACCCCCCTGCACTGTACACACCCTGCACACATGCACCCCCCCATCCACCCCCCTGCACTGTACACACCCTGCACACATGCACCCCCCCATCCACCCCCCTGCACTGTACACACCCTGCACACATGCACCCCCCCATCCACCCCCCTGCACTGTACACACCCTGCACACATGCACCCCCCCATCCACCCCCCTGCACTGTACACACCCTGCACACATGCACCCCCCCATCCACCCCCCTGCACTGTACACACCCTGCACACATGCACCCCCCCATCCACCCCCCTGCACTGTACACACCCTGCACACACGCACCCCCTACATCCACCCCCCTGCACTGCACATACTCTGCACACACCCACCCTCCACTGTACACCCACCCGCACCCACTTTACATACTCTCCGTCCCCTATTGTACATACCCTGCACACATCCACCCCCAGTGCACCCCCCAATGTACTTGCCCCGCACCCCTCACTGAACATACCCTGCTCCCCCCACACTGTACATACCCCACCCACACTCCCACTGTATATACCCCTACACACTCCCCACATACTGTACATACCCTGCACACACCTGCAACCCCCTGCACTGTACTTATCCTGCGTACATCCACCCCCCCGCTGTACATGCCCTGCACACATCCACTCCCCCCATGCACATGCACTTCCCACTGTAAATGCCCTGCACATATCCCCCACACACTGTATATGCCCTACCCTCAACATACAGTACACGCACACATACCCATACCCTTGCCAACACACTGCTACTCATGTCTTGCAACTCTCTACCACCTACACACACCCTGAACTCAGCCTGCACACATCCACAACCCCTACACACAGGATCTCACACACAGCCACACCCGTAACACACTGTGCATGCCCCACACACATCCACACCCCAACACACAGAACTCCTCACACAGCCACACCCCCAACACACTCTACTCACCCCCCATCCCCACCACAGTGGGCACACCCTATCCAATTCCCCTCACTACATACTGCCCATGCCCCACACACCTCCCACCCCCAACTGCAGGCCCCCTTGTTCTACCCAACCCCCCTCCACCTGCACATTCCCTCCCCCGCACTCACGCAGCCACACTGACCCCTCCCCTCCTCCTCTCCCCATGGGGTGGCTCCAGACCCAGCTGGCTCCTGGCCCTGCCAACTGCCTCACCTGTGTTTCAAGCTCTACCAGCCTCTGCCGCAGCTCCCGGAGGTCAGCCTGCGCCTGGGCCTCCCGCAGGCGGATGGTCATCAGCTCGTCCTGGAGGTCGTTGATGGTGTTTTTGCGGGGGGAGTCCTTCCAGCGCCCGCCTGCTCGCGACAGGTGAGCCTAGGGCAGTACAGGGAATAAGAGTAGGAATAAGAGATCCTCCGGAAAAGGCTTTATTTTCCGGAGAATCACGTCTAGACTGGCACTTTTCTCCGGCTTATCTCCAAGCCAGAAAAAAGCGGCAGCTATGTTAATGCAAATACCGCGGGGATATTTAAATCCCCCGCGGATTTGCCTATTCCAAAGTGCTACATTAGCATCCCTTTTCCGGAAGGGGTGCCAGAGTAGACACAGCCAGGGAGTGGGCACTGGAGAGTAAGAATTATTCAGTGTGGCTTTGCTGCTTAGGTTTCACTTGACCTGAGACCAATGGGGGCAGACCTCCTGCAAGAGGCAGACATGCGAGTGTGATTTCTTGTAGGAAAACAGGGCGATGTGGGCAAAATGCCCAAGGCTAAGGAAAGGGTGGCCAAACCAAACCCTCAAAGGGTTACGCTGGAGGCAAACTCAGCCTCCGTTGGCCCAGGGAGGCCGCCAGAGCCCAGGGTCCAGAAGCTAATGGCACTAGGAGAGGGAGGCCATCATGCAGCCTGCCCTCTCCGGGACACGCACGTCCTGCTGTGCTCTCCTGGGCTCGGACACATCTGACCCCAGTGGGAGCGGAAGGCTGGGCTACTGGAGAGACATTCATGATATGGAGGGATGGATTTAGCTGGGATTGGTCCTGCTTTAGCCAGGGGGCAGGACTTAATGACTCCTGAGGTCTCTTCCAGCCCTGGGATTCTATGATTCTGGGACCCAGGGAACCCATGTGAAACATGGGTGCTGCAACTCCAGCCAATGCTGCTGGACTGTGTGGCCTGGCTGGGTGTCCAGTGCAGACACAGGACACATCATGGGGGAGCTGACAGTTGGGGTTCTCCCATTCGCTGAGCACCCACAGCCGGCAGCAGGTGTTTCTAGCGGTGGTGCACATCTGCGCATGCCTTGGCGCACATGACAAAGATTATTTTGCGCATGGGATATAAAAAATTAGAGAACATTGTCTACAACCTTCTTTGGGAGCTTATTCCAGAGCCGAAATCTCCCTAGCCGTAGAGCGGATAACTTCTGCTCCTACCTTCAGTGGACATGGGGAACACGTGATCGTTGTCCTCTTTAGAACAACCATTAGCACATTTGAAGACTCTTATCTTGTCCCACCCCCCACCAGCTTTTCTCAAGACTAAATGTGCCCCGTTTTTTAACCTTTCCTCACAGGAGAAGGTTTCTAAATCTTTGATTTCATTCACTGGTCTTGTCTGAACTCTGTGTAATGTGTCCACACCTTTCTTGAAGTCTGATGCCCCAAATGGATGCAGGAGTCTTGCTGAGGCCTCACAGGTGCTGTGTGTGTGTGTGTGTGGGGGGGGGGGCAATTATGGCCCATGTCTTATACACAACACTCCTGTTAGTACACACCGGAATGAGGGCAGCTTTTATTGCAAGGCATCACAGTAGACTCAGACTTTAAGGTCAGAAGGGACAATGATGATGGGCTAATGTCTGACCTACACGTCATGGGCTACAAAACCTCACTCGGTGTTCTGGGGCCTCACCCATCCTCCGGTTCTCAGAGATTATTGGTAATGGCTCCAACACTGAACGCATCACCGGGGGTGTCTCAGCCCATGCGCTAGGGTGGGGGGCTGTTGGCCTGGTGATGAGTAGCTGACGGGGAAGTGGGCTTTACCTGCCAGCTGTCATTGAGCTCCTTCACGTGCAGCTGCAGCTCCTTGAGCGAGGTCAAGGCCTCTGCCTCGCGTACCTTCAGTGCCTTGAGCTCCTCCTGCAAACGGGCCACGTTGTTCTCGTCGGGAAGCGAGCTGTTCCTCTGCAGGGAGGTGGAGGCAGAGGGTGTTAGGCTAGGGCCCAGCAGCACAGGCTTCTCCGCTCTGACCATTGCACCGTGCTGCCCAGCTTTCCACATCCAGGCTCTGGGGCCATCCAGGGTGTCCCCCAGGGAGGGCCTGGGTAGGGAACAAGCCCTGCACTCAGCGGGAGACCTTGGACTCGTCGGGAGTGCTGCTGGGGCACAGAGTGACGTGGTGCGGTGCGTTAGGGATGTGAGAGTTTAACTGGTTAGCTCCTGGAGGCTGCAGCAGCTCCAGCCCTGCAGGCAGGGGCTGCTCCGACCAGAGCCGCCTGTGTGTGGCAGGCAACCCCCTGCTGTTTTCCCTTTAACCAGCTAGCCAATTTAACTGATCACACATCCCTGTGTGTGCCACCCAGCTCCCCGAGCTCCGGAGAACACCAGCAGGCCCCACTCACACCCCTGTGGTAAGCAGAAGGCAAAGGACATTCCAGGTGGCTCCAAACTTTGCACTGGCAGGCTCTCCCACCAGAAAGGGAAGCAGCATGGCCCTGGCACGGGGAGCACCCTCAGCCCCAGCCAGCCAGAGCCATGTTTGGACACTGGCCACGATGGAAGTTCAGGCCCCACCGTGGTGGCGATTCTAGAGCAGACCCCTGGCTGAGGGCTCAGGAGATGGGCCAGGCTTTGGCTCGCTCCGGGAGCAGGGCTCCAGCTGCTCACAGCGGTGCAATTCCACTGGAGACCATGCAGCCCTGGCCAGGGAGCAGCAAGGGGCTCGCATTTCCACCCATTTCTTGACCGGAAGGGCTGCAGCGGGGCCGAGCGCACTCTGCAAACCTCCAGCTACAGAAGGAACGAGGATGAGCCTAGGCGAGCCCAAGCAGCGCCCCTCTGAGCTCTCACAGCCTGCGGTCACCCCTGGCAGGGTGGCCACCCGAGTGGCTTTTCTCCAGGGAGCAGGGAGCTGAAGCTGCGTCTACATGGCATGAGCTGTGCTGGTGGAAACTCCCATTAGGCTGAGATCCCTGGCTGGGGCGAAGCAGCGCTGCTCCATGGAGTGCACGGAGCGGTGCCTCTTTACAGCAGCTGAGGCCAATCAGGAGCTCTGGGCCTGCTGAGTGAGTCATACACACGGCACAGGCAGGGCGGAGGCTTCCAGCCGGTTTCAGACACCACCCCCACGTTCTGCAGGAAAGCAATGGAGGAGGTGCTATCTCACCCTAGTCAGAGCAGAAATCACATGCTGGCAGCTGCAGGGAAGGCAGAGGTGGGAAGTGAGGGGAAAAGTTAGTGACAGCGAGTTCATCTCTACTGCACTGCCAGGGACCCTGCACCCACCAAGAACCCTGAGGTTCGTATCATACTAGGAAGCAGAGTCACCCCCTTCATCAGCCTCGGCAAATCAGCTCAATACTCCTAGCAGCTCCACACCACATGCTGCTCTCTCCTCATGCAGCTAATCGTAACCCTAGGCACGGGGCAGCACCCCAGTGCTCTAGCTGTACAGCTCAATGTTGTGTGTGCACAGTGCTTGGTGCAGCGGGACCCTGATCACCGAATGCGGCCTCTAGGCCAAACCATAATCTACTATGTGTTTGGCGCGTTTGCGCGTTCATCTGTCTGTGAGTTGGTTTGATCAAGAACGTCTCCTAAACAGTAAGAGCTAGGACCACCACATTTGGCACGCAGCTTCCTCTTCTCCTGACTTAAAGCAAGGGCAGAGTTTGATTGTGTCCGGACAATGGAAAGTGCCTGGAATTTGATTGTTTCTCATAAAAGGGAGGGGTCTGGTAGAAGGGACAGTTATACTATAGAATAACCACAGGGGGCAGGCAGCAAGGGGTCAGAGATGGGAACTGGGACAACTATAACCCCATTAGGCTAGCAGTGGGTAGGAGTGGAGAAAGGGACAGCGCTCTACTATATATTTCAGAGAGTTTGTCTGCCTGTTTGTCTGTGTCTCGGTCCCCCGAATGGGGGGACATGGACCCCTCCCCCGGCTGCGCCCGATGCAGATGTAGCAGCCATGGACAGGCACTTCTCACCAGGCCCCAAGCTGCTGAGGTGAGAGAGGGCTGGGGTAATCCTCTCCCTCTGGGCAGCCCGCCTACTGAACCCCTCCTCCCCCAGTCCCACCCCAGAGCAATGATTTAAATGCAGAAAAGAAAAATGTATTTGAGGTAAGGACGCAAGCAATGCTGGGTAAATCTTCTAGTATCAACCAGCAGGGAGAAAACATCACCCTGCTCCCAAGCGAATGACACGTGCCCTGGTTCTCCCTCCGCTTTGTGGATTATTGGAGAGAGAACGGATCTGTGTGTAATGGGAGAGGGGGCAAGTGGTGACCCCACTTAGACCGGAGCAATCACACATCTGCTGCAACATCCGTTAGTCAAATACACCCTGCGCCCTTCTCATTCCGAGGACAAATGGGAACCCAGCAGTGGTGTCACACACAAACACATGCGGCTGTGCATGGTCCAGATCTCTCGTCACCCCACGCTTCAGGGGCTTTTGCACTGCCGTGTTGGGTGGAGGGCAAGGCCTTGAGTCATCCTTCCAATCTCAAGCCCCCATGGGCTTTCTCACATACTGAGCAGGTGTGGTCACAGCAGTGCGAGCTGAAGCAGGAAGGGCTGGTTTGGGGCTTGTTGGGGTGTTAAAAGGGTGGGAGGACCTGATTCTCACAGCTGCAATCAGCTAAGATGAGGCTCTCCAGCATCAGCTCAGCCTGAACTAGAGAAGCTAGAGGTTAGATTTAAGGTACAGAAATTCAGCACTGGACAGACCACCCCCTAAAACACAGGCATTGTGTAAACACACGGGATCAGGCATTCAGGTCAGCCTGCTAGGACTGGGACCCTTTGATGCATTTAGATCCAGCACTGTGATCAGACTTCAAGCACCCCCACTTAGTTGGGTTGGGGGGGGAGGATATTCGGGCTCAATCTCTGGTTAGATCAGACCAACAAGAGAAGGAGGGAAGGAAGGCTTAGCAGACCTCACTCTTTGGGATGTGTTGTTTTTTTCTGTAACAGACAAACTCGGCTACCCCCTGAAGCTCCTAAATAATATCAGCAACACCCATTTCCAGCTTTCCCTGGGTGACCTCTGGCCTATCGGGTCGATGATCCTTCCCTGCCATGCTGGCAGGGTGAATTCATAAGGTAACTGAGGTGCTCAGCTTGGGGCCCTGAAGGTGTCTTGATGGATGGGGCCTGCTGTGTGGAGGCGGAGGGGAACCATTGGCCCTTGGGCTGTGACCCATGGCACCTTTTGTGTCTCTGTGGCACTGAGTCCCCCCTGCAGCCACTGCAGGAGCCCCATGCATAGGACAGGACTGAACCTACTTAGCCAAGGCGGCTTCGCTTTACTAAGTGTCTGCTGAGCAGGCCACGACTTGCCTTTTCCATATCCCACTAACTTGGAAGGCTCCATACCCTGAACCCAGCCCAACTCTTCCCATCAAAGGAGACCTGAGAGCATGGGGGAACCTGGCATGGGCGCTGAAATCTGCAGTGATCACAGACCCACTGCACTGGGGAGGCTGGGACCTGAATTTGGGCAGGAGAGCTGGCAGAGCACTATAGTATACCCCAGTCTGGCCATGCCAGCTCCAATACAACCAGCTCCTCTCCTCTTCAGTGAGCCCACTGGGGAGGAGATGCCCCCAGCCAGGAGCCAGA